GGGGCTTTATTTAGCTAATATTGTATAAATGCAATATATTTGAAAGTCATTAGCACCAAACTTTGTATGAACTCGGTAGTTGATAGGTTAAATTGGTTCCTCAACCACAAAGTTCGAGTCTTTGGTGTCAATTCCAGTAACCAAAAAACAAGAAATGGAAACAATAACAAAAACAAGGTACTCCGAATTACCATTTTTTCTCACATTCTATAACACCTTCTTTGCGAGGCAAAATCGCCGAGGCATTCAATGACTCTAGCGGTTGGAATTTGAGAAGGATCTCCTGTCACCCTAGTTGTTGAACGTACGAGTCTTTGTATGCCAGATTAGAAGATAATATGTGTGCAAGAGGGAGTTCACTAGCGCTCTCAAACCTCAGCGGTTGGACGGTGGAAAATAGTTGTCTGTTCTTCCTATCCAACGGCAGAGGTTCGAGTCCTGGGCTGGGAAACGTATGATGATCTTGTCTGTACTGATTACAGAGGGCTAATTTCATTGTTAGCCCCTGTACTCATTACACACAAAAAATAAGAGGTATTCTAAAATACCTTATTTTTTCAATTTTTACCGTGCCTGATGTTGTTGATATGGCTGTTTCTGTTTTTGCTATCCTTAAAAACCATATGTTACGGCTAAAATAATTATTTTGAAAAGTGTTGTCCATAAAAGAAAGGAGTAAAAGAAAGGTAGAAACATTAAAAGCAAGCAAAAATAACAACTGCATAAGCACAAGATCAACTTGTCCTAAAAATTAATTTCCTTGGAAGTACTGGGAAGCTTCAGTATCATGGAGTGATAGCATCTGTACAACTTGGCTCATTGTGGGTCTAGCATGCATGTCTTCTTCCACACATTGTAAGGCCACTTCAATAAGAAGTTTCATCTTATCCATGTCATAATCTTTTCCCAACATTGGATCTGCAACCTCTTCAATCCATGTCTCCATTGAAGTGGCCCCATTTATCTTCTCCCTCACCCATGGAACCAACCTTTCTTGGTCCTGCTCCAAATCTGCATATCTCCCTTCTGCATGAGCCCCTGATGAGCTCTTTCCTGTCAACATCTCCAAAACTACAATTCCATAGCTGTAAACATCAACTTTGGATGTGATAGGAAGATTGTATACCCATTCGGGAGCCATGTAACCTCTTGTACCTCTTACGCTTGAGAAACTTGAGGTGTTGGTGCCACCTCTGCTTAACAGCTTGGACAGACCAAAATCTGCCACTTTTGGTTGGAAGTTGGAGTCCAAGAGTATGTTTTGTGGCTTAATATCGCAGTGTAGAATCCATTCCAAGCATTCTTCATGCAAATAAGCCAAACCTTTTGCAGTGCCGATAGCAATTTCAAACCTTCTTGCCCAATTTAATGCTTTTTTTGATAGATTATCGGCTAAAGATCCATGCTCCAAGTACTCATAAACCAAGAGCCTGTGTTTCCCTTCGACACAATATCCCCACATCTCGATCAAGTTCATGTGATTTAGCCTTCCAATGGTACTCACTTCAGCAAGGAACTCTGCTTCCCCTTGGTCAGCTTCATGGAGGCGCTTGATTGCAGCTATGCGTTGGTCCGGTAATGCACCTCTGTATACAACTCCAGCGCCACCTCTGCCTACCTCTTCAGTGAAATTCTTGGTTGCCTTTTTTAGCTCCGAATAAGTGTATCTCCTGAATCCAGTTGCAGCTTGGATGTATCCTTCGGTTACTGCTTTGTTGCCCTCATTGCTTCTAAACAAAATACACCATACCAAGAAGATGCAAATGAATTCCACAATTCCTAGCGCAGCAGAGAACCAAAGCAGAAACTTCACGGATCCATTTTCTTTGCCCTTTCCATACATTCTGTTTAGGGTCTGATTCATCACCTCTGGACAACCTGACCTTGATTCTTCACTGCAATTATTAGAACATAAATGGGACTTGGGTAATTTCAAGTACAAATCCCCCAGAAAACTTGCTGCCCTGTATCCATTAAGCAAAAATATCTTGGGGAAACAAGAGTAGCTACCCTTGTCTTCATCGAATTTGAATTGGAATCCTTTGCAGTCGCTGGAATTCAAGCATCGTTCTTTACATCCCTGTAAAGTACTGTTCTCGAATATACCTGTGTCATAGCCGTAGATTTCAACATGAGTACGTAGGACAAATCCAAACTCACGCCTATCATAAGAATTTGTGAATTTCGTTATACAGCCTTGGGACCAATCGGCAGGATTCTTAATCTTGTATCCTGGTAAGCAAGAACATGTCCTTCCCAAAACATGATCATATTTGCACAAGCTGTTTTGTCCACAGATGCCATGAACTCTACATGGTAGAATAGGGGGTTTCCAAGTAACAATCCATCTCCTATCCTGCAAACTGTATAGCCTCAAACTGCCATCAGGATCAAGAGTTAAACGTCTCAGCGGACCTATACCCGAATCCGCCGCCCAAAACCGCAAATCATCGGATGACCTGAAATAACCTGAGGAGTTTAGTACAGCAACTCGACTGCTGTTATATGTAGACCTTTCACTTCCCTTTTGCCAAGGAACAAGCCATGGATCTGGCCAGTAGACACTGGTTATATTGGGGACTTGGTAGAGAAGGCGCAGGACGTTATCATTATCAAAATAGAGCTTATAATTACCAGAAGAATAGTTGCTTCGGCTCTTTGATGAAATAAGGTAAGTGTCTTTGGTTAATACTTGATCGGGAAGCAAGGTATCTGTGGGAGAATTAAAGCTTTGCCAGAGGAAGGCATCATCAGAACCACTTTGTAGTTGAAGAACAAGATTCCCAGTATTGAGAAGCTTTAGCTGAACAGGGGAAGCTGCAACAAAATCTTCAGTAGTCCACTCTGTTCTTCTGCTTGAGTCGGTCAAGATAAGCTTTCCGTTCCTCAATAGCTCAAGCTTTGAGCCTATTCCGTTTACCGGTTGGTCTCGGTTGGCCATCCAAACAACGGTGCGATTGGGATCGGTTGAATTGTTGAACCATACGGAGAAGCAGAATGCATTTTCGCCAACAGGGTAAAACCCGGCATTGAAGACACCATTTGCAGAAACCAAAACATCTCCTGGTTTCTCAACGTGGAGAAATCTGTCTTGTTTGAGAATATCAGAAGCCATGCATGGAGAAAGAGAGAATATTTGAAGGAAAACAAAAAGAAGTGAATAGAGCCACCCCCACATATCCATGAACACTGAGACGAAGATAATGTATTGGCTATGCTGGTTTCAGAATCGAAGGCAGTTCTCCTCTTATAAAATAATCTCCAGTGATCTAGGAAGCAAACAAGTCAAATTAAAAGAACTGGAAGTCAAGATACCGAAGACAAACTTTTTTTGTTGTTTACGTCCAGTAGTAGTGGCTTAACTTCCACAAATCACGGTAGACGTTGAACGGAAGTCTTTACATGAAGAAGGTTCTTGAATACAACGGACAGAAGGTGCAAATTCAGCCCTGTACTTACAATGTTGTGTTATATCAACTCCTCTACTTTAAATTATGGCAAAGCAGCCCCTCAACTTCATGAAATCCTCAGAACATTTTAGTAAAGATGACTTCATCCAATCGTTAAATCATCCATTGCCTGTTAATATGTGATGATTTGGCACTGATTGGGCAATGTCATCGACTAAATTCACGCCACCTACCTAAGTAAGAATGGCAATAGGTCCCCACCCCTATAAGGACCCCCTTCCTATTCTTGTCCCTGCTAATAGTGGGTATGGGGTGCCTTGGAGATTTTTGGTTAAGGGTAAAAAAATACCCTCCACCCCCATCCTTGCAAGAACTGGTAGGTCCTGCAAGTATACGAATTTTTTACCAAATATTAAAATGATAGAATTTAACCTCATTTTTTTTTTTCAATAAATAAATTTTATAATATTACATAAAGAATAATTCATAGGATATAAAAATAAAAACCTGCAAAAGTGAACCATCTAAAAATTTCACAAACACCATAAAAAAATACTGCATAAATAATTAAAAAGAGAATAAAAATTTAAAACAAGTAAATGTATACAATCCAATAAATTCATAAAAAACAACATAAAGAGATTACAAATTTGAAACAAATTGAGTTTTATGTTTTTTTAAATATATTATAATTTATTAAAATATAAATTATATTTTTTATTATATACGGATCTTGCAAATACCCATGGGGTGGAATGAATTCCCACAAAGAAAAAGTTGCCTTCATTCTATTTCATGAGGAAAAATTACCTCTATTCCCAAGATAGTGATTTCCACAAAGCTCTGTGAGTTTTGGAGCAAATTACTGTCCTTAACCGGACACCTTTTCCCTATTTAAATTTGCACTCACTCTCATTTGAACTATATCATTCATAATAAAACAAGATTATTCGTTTGTCTTATTTTTGGAGGGATGAAGCTTAACCAAAATTTAATGAGGGGCTAAAAGGTTTCTTTTTTTGTCCTATCACATTAGTATAATATGATTATAACATATATAATATAAGAAATAACTCAATATGAAATATGATATTATAAAATTGTAAATTATTTCATTTGTTCACATTATAGGAGTTAATAGAAAAAATTTTAACTAACATCAAAATAATTTGTTCTTTCTTTTGGTAATAAACAATGAAATAACTTAAATTTGTAGTATCATGAAATAAATTTGTTACAAGATTTTATCTATAATTTAATAAAAATGATATAAAATTATTTATTAGCATAAAATAAGACACTATAAAATTAAATTATTTTATTTATAACATGAGCATGATAGTCAATTTATAATTATATTTGATGGATATTTTCAAAAAAGTAAGAAATCAAAATTGTTCTTTTATCTATAAAAAATCAAAATTTCTTATTTCTTAAAAGATTAAAGCACAATACAAAATTAAAGAAAGACGAAAAGAGACTTAATAAATAATTAACTAATAACGAAACATGACCTTTATTTATAAAGAAACAAATAAATGAGGAGGCAAACAAAGTTTAGGTCTAGAAATTTTAAGGGTAATTAGAGAATTTAAAACTGTTCTTATGATTACGATCAAAAAAAAAAAAAAAAACTGTTCTTATGATTTTCTTTTTAAACATGATTGTTATATATGGTTTTTTTAATAAACAAAGGAAAATAAAAACATTTCATAAGTTTTTTTTTTCTTTTATCTTAAAAAAAATCTTTGGGTTAAACTTAAACTCTTAAATTATGTACTAAAATTTTAAAACCAAATATTTAATTATTTAGTAAATTTAAATATTTATATATATTACAGTTTATTTACTAATTTTTTAATTAAAATA